TAGAAGAAAGCATAGCGTTTGGAATCACACAATTTAACAGCTAGCTGGAGGAGAATGGGTCAGCGAAGGACAATGAGATCTAGCAGAGGAGTAGGGGAAACTAGGAAATTGGGCCAGAGAGAGAGACTGTTTTAGAGAGGTGATAATCAACCATGTCAGATAATCCAAGATGGGGTCAATGAAAGGCCCACTGAACTAACTAAACGGAGGGCTAGAAAAACATCTGTTTTGAGGGAAGAAGTGATGAAGACAAAAGCCTGAATGGAGAGGGTCGAGAATAGTGGGAGATAAAGACATGGAGGAAATGAGGTCCAACAACTCTTTTCTGAAGTTCAGTTGAGAAAGGGAAGAGAAGGCAAAAGCTTCAGATGAGTTGGGGTTTGTTGTTTTTAAGATGAGACGGAGACCTCTGTCTGTTTACATCCTGATGGAAAGGATCCCATAGAGAGTGAAGGTCATGATCTGGCTGAGAGGAAATGGTGTACAATAAAAGGATTATGAAAAGGGGGGGGAGTGATAGGATTCAGAACCAGCTCAAGCCCTGGGCACATGGGAGGCATCAGAATAATACTGGGTCTCTTTAATATTTAACTTAAAAAAATTGTGAAATACAATAGATGTATAGAAAAGAGTATCTAAAATAAATACAGTATCTCCCCCCACCCCCCTGCTCACCCAGCCCCCATCCATGGTTTCTCTGTCTGGTTCAGTTACTCAAGTTCATCTGTGGTCCTGAAGTAGACCATCCCATCATCATCAGGTCAGTAGTAGCCTAGTACTATGTCCCAATGCCTGTGCCATTCACCTTGCTTCATCTCATCACATTGTATTTTACCCTCTATCATCACAGGAAGAGGGGTGAGTGCCACACTAGATATTGAGAGAGCGAGAGAGACCACATTCATATAACTTTTATTACAGTGGATTGTTATAATTGTTCTATTTTATTACTATTGTGAATCCCTTATTTTGCCTAATTTATAAACCAAACTTGATCATAGGTAAGTACGCATAGGAACAAATATAATGTATATAGGGTTTAGCACTATCCACAACTTCAGGCATCCACTGGAGTCTTAGAATGCATCCCCTCAGATAAAGGGGGACGTCTATGCAAAGTTTAATGGGTCATTATAGTAAATATCCATATAAGCAGACAAAAATATAACACTGTCTGCATTTCAAACACCCCACATGTTTCTCTTCCTTGTCCCAATTCCCAATTCCTACTGGTAAGCACTATCCCAGATTTATTGGTAATTGATATTTTTCTACTTTTTTTAATTTCCCATTTTACCACCTCAGTATATACCTAAGTATACATCAAATAACGCTGTTAAATTTTGCTTGTTTTTGAACTTCATATAAATATAATTGCACTATGTGGATTCTTTTATTTCATGCTTCTTTCACTCAATGTTATATTTTTAGCATTCATCTACGTTGTTGCATGGACCTCATTTGTTGTCAACCCTGTATACTATTCCATTGTATGATTATATCACAATCCATGCACTTTTTCTGCTATTAGTGGACATATGGGTCATTTCTTGTTCGGTTGTGTGTGTGTGTGTGTTTTTTTTTTTTTAAGTTTTGTGATCCTCTATTTAAAAAAAAATATTTCTATGTATTTTTATTGCTTTTAAGTATTCCCTACGCCTAACATGGGGCTGGAACTCATAATCCCGAGATCAAGAGTCAGATGCTCTACCAAGTGAACCATCCAGGTGTCCCTCCTGTTTCGGGTTAATAAAAATACTGCCCCCCCCAAACATTCTTGCATGTGTGTCCCTGATGTACCTGAACTTCTCTTGGCTATATTCCTAAGAAGAACTTCTGGATCATAGAGCGTGCATATCTTTGACTTCATTCGTTAATACCAAACTTTCCCAGAGGTTATACCCATTCACACTGCTCTAAGTTACTCCACTTCATTAGAAATGAGACAAACTCTATCATTAGTGTTAATACACATCTTTACTTATTTTCTAAAGCAGTATCTTCCTGAGCCAGGTGCTTCCTTAGAGTAAGTTCTAACCTGCCCACTCTCCTTCCTAGCTTCAGGCTGACTGAGTTCCATCTCATCATGAAGCGTTACCATTAACTGGATCATTGTTTCTTTTACGTGTTACAAGTTAGGTTCTTCCTTGGGTAAGACTTTGAAGTAACAAACTCTCTTACATCAGAGGTGATACATATCATTGTTACATCTCGGGGTATATCACCCCTGCACATGGTTGATCTTTTGCTGTCAGTATAGTACTGCAGCTATTTGGGCAGCTAAGTGGAAGGTTAAGAGCATGAAATATGGAGCTGGACTGCCTGGGTTTGAATCCTCACTCTGTACTTTCTATCTGTCCTCAGTTTGCTCATCTTGAAGGTAGAAACCTCATCTCATAGGGTGACGGTGGGTGATTAAATGAGGTAATTAGTGGAAAGTACTTAAAAAAGTGCCTGGCATCCAATTGCTTTATTAAAGATCTGTTATAGTTTTGGGGGAATAGAGGTCAGTGATTATGAACATGGGCTGAAGTCAGAAGGAATTCAGGTCTACCCTGTATACTCTGCTCTCTCTGGACTGTGGGTCATCGGGTAAATTGTTAATATTCCCATACCTTAGTTCCTCACCTGTATAAACTGAGCTACGAATCATTATCTTGTATGGGTGCCATGAGTATTGAAACGGTAAATGCAAAGTGCCAAGGACTGAGTTTGGGTGTACTACATGCTAGTTGCTGTCACTTTAGCAGGTGGCAGCTACTGTTCCTGCCCTCAGATGCTGGAGGTGAACAGCTGCTGGGCCCTGACATCCATAGGTCCTCTGTACCATCTGAGGGGTAGCTGAGGAGTGTGAAAATGTGCGGAGAGACCACAGAAGTTATTCCCATTTACGTGTACGTCTTGGGAGGTATACACTTAGCTAAATGAAACCCAGTCCACTTGGACTCAGATGTAGGGGTTATCCCAGCACACCGGTAACTACAGAATATAATAGAGAGTCTGGAGCAAGGACTTTTGAGGGTCCTAAGGAGGAAATATCTAGTTGAGTAGTCTTTCTAGAAGAGGTTTTTAAGATAAGTCTCAAGAAACATCCTATCAAGTGGGAAAAGCTGCAGAAAATACTGGTCATGAAGAGCTCTGAATCACAGGCCAAGGTATTTTTCCTCAATTCAGTAAGAAATAGGATATTTTGTATTGCTGGGTGGCTGTGAGATGGGAGCTGGAGTCTGAAAAATGTTCAGGTACACTGGGCCAACAAACTGTGATTTAGCAACCCTACTGTCTGGCTTGCAGTGCCATTGGACTCTCATACTTTTAGAAGATGATATTTGGAGAGGGATATGCCCAGCAGTTTTAATGCCAAATTAATTATGTTTTTCTAATACGTTTCCAAAAATCAATGCAATGGTGGCTGGGGTCATTACTGTAAACCTCATCGTATCACCTTATTATTGCATGCAAACTAGAGATAAAATGCATTAGTATCCTTTATTTAAAAAAAAAAAAAACATTAGTACCTACCTGTGGTAATGGATACATACACACGTGAGAAATTTGTATAGAAATGCAGGCACACACAAATGAGCACAATTAAGGTGGAAACGTCAATAAGATGGGTGGACTGAATCGATGTCAATATCCCGACTGTGCTATATTACAGTTTTGGAGGACATTACCATTGGGAAGAACTGGGCAAAGTGAACAAAATATTTCTTTGTCCTATTATTTTTTACAACATGTGAATCTTCAATGATCACAAGAAAAATTTCAATTAAAAAACATTAGTACAAGTTACGTTTTGTACAAAATGTGTCATAGCAAGTCACATTCTGCTTCCCTCAATTAACCATATTTAGGAGATTTAGGGACAATAAAATAGGCGCCATTATTTATCTTGGGGCCCCAACTGGAAAGGAGAGCAAAGTGCCTAGGAAAGAGGTCAACAGCACAGAAATTGCTTTTGCTACTTCGATCTTAGTGAAACTGGCACAAGACAGTCACCGAAAACGTTAGACAAGTTCTGCCATAGAGGGCTGACTTTACCCAGCTATTTTCTGATTTACCCACTGGGTCTAATGTGTCACTTCCCCTCTTCCAAAGGTGGCGATAAAACTATTTTTTTTTTTAGAATGGAAGAGAAATTGATCCGCACACACAAAAGGGGCGTCCTGAAGTTGCCTGATGTAGCATTTTAAAATTCGGGGAGTTTTTACCTAACCCATTACTTTCGAAAAGTACAACCCACAGGAATGAGTGAACTCAACTTCTTGAGCAAGCTGGAGAACACGGTGCTAGGAGGGCAGATTGGTTTCCCTTCCCAACAAAAGGGCCGACTTCCACTTGAATGAGCGGCGCCGCGAACTTTTATGAAGTGCGAGAGGGGAAGAAATGGCAGGCTGGGAATCCGGCCCCGGGAAGGCTTCCACCGCGCCGGAGAACCACCACCTGAATTATCAGAAAAGAAACTTCTCTTCCCCGAACTTGCAGACTTCCGCGAGTCCTGGAGCGCTCTAAGGGGTCGGCCGAGCTTCCGCGTCCCGTAAGAGGGAAACTGAGGCAGGGAGGGCGCGGCGCGCGCAGCTCCGGGGTCGGCGCCCGCCCGGAGGAGGAAACCCAGGCTTCCAGAGTTCTCCGCGCGGACGCAAGCACCTCGAAGTCGCCCGCCGCCCCGCCCAGCTCGGGACAAAGCCCGGGCCCGCGCCGGGAGACAGGGCAGGGGGGGGTGGGCAGGGCGGCTCCCGCGCGCGCCCCGCTCCCCCGTGGGCGCGAGACTCCGCCCTGCCGTCCCAGCGGGGGGAGCCCGTGCCCCAACGGCAAAGTCGGCCCAGCCGGGCCCGCCCCGAATCCCCATGACGTCACCGGCGGCGGCAGGCCCCGCCCCCGGCCCCGGGCGGCAGGCCGCATGACGTCACCGAGGCCCCACCCCTCCGGAGCGAGTTCGGTCCTGGCGTTCATTTCATTCCTGTCCTCATTCCGAACATTCTTAGCATCGCTCGCGCCGCGCCGCGCCGCCCGAGCCGAGCCGAGCCTCTGCAGCCGCCGCCGCGGCCCCGCCGCCCGCCGCGGGCGCCCACCAAGCACTTTGCAGACTCGCTTCCACCCTGCGGGCCAGTCCGCGCGGCGGGGCCCGGGCCCGGGGCGGCCGCGTCCGGGGACAGGCCATGCAGTGAAGCCCCCCCACCCCGTCCGCCTTTGCCCGGAGCCGCGGGCAGTAGCCCAGTGCGCCCAGCCGGCCCCGGGGCAGGAGCGGTGCTAGGCAGGGGTAGGGTGGCCCGGCCCGGGGACCGGGAGCCGGGGAGGGAGCCGGGCACCGAGCTGCGGGCGGGGGAAGCGGCGCCGAAGTTTGCCTCGGACTCGCCGGGCGCTGCGGCGGCTCCCTTCGCCGAGGTAAGTTGGCGCGCGGGGTGATGCTGGGTGCGGGCGGCGCACCGGGCGCCCGGGGGCGGGGGGCCGGCGGCGCGTCCGGCTCGGGCCGCTCTTTCTCTGCGGGCTCCGCTTTGTGTGTGGCGGGCGGTTACGCGGAGGGCCGGGGCCGGGCCCCCGCGCCCCCTTCAAGGTGAGCGGCCGGGCGCCGCCTCGCGAGTTGCTGGGACGCCAAGTTGGGCCGCGCGCTGCGGAGCCCGCGCGGCAACAGGCGGCCCCCGGCGGCGGCCCTGGAGGCGCCCGGCCGGCCGCGCCGCGCCCCCCGCGCCCCCCGCGTCCCCCGCGCCCCCCGCGTCTCCCGCGCCTCCCGCGTCTCCCGCGCCTGCCCGCTCGCCCGCACGCGCACACACGCACACACCCTCACAAGCTCAGCCGGTTATCACGATTTGCTCTGGGAAGTCAGAAGTTCGGAGCGGGCGCGGGCGGGGAGAGCCGCCGGCGCCGCCTCGGAGCCCGGAGCCGGCCCCCCCCTCCGCCGCCGCCCCCATGGGGCCCCCGGGCGCCCGGGCCCCCCGAGGCCTGCCCGGGGTCCGCGCCGACTCGTGCTGCTGGCGGGGGTTCGCTCCTTCTCAAAGATGAAAGAAGGCACGGTCGCCTTTGCCGCTTCTCCAGGACTGTTGCTGCTGCCGCCGCCGCCACTTCATTGCACATTCAAGTGGAAAATTTTCAGGAGTCAGCAGAAACATTGTGTCCAAAAAAGACTGAGTCGCAGTTACCACCAAACCCTGGAGGAGACTCTCCCTGGAAAACTTCCCTTCGGTAGGAAATACTGGGGGATTTGTTTGTTTATTGGAAGAGAAATGATCCCCAGGAGAGGAGAAAATCTGGGTGTACTTCTAGTCTTTGTTCGTAGCAGCAACACTGTTTTCAAAAGTCCAGAGGCCCGCTTTCAAGAAAGTTCAACTTCCAGGAGTTTCTTTTTTCTAAAATGCATTTGTGTGTGTGTGTGTGTGTGTGTGTGTGTGTGTGTATTTCTTTTTTTTTTTTTTTTAAACTGAAGCAACATTTTAAATGAGTTGAAAACAATGGAGGGCTCACACTTCCCTTATTCTTCTCCCACAAAAATAAATAAAATCCAGATCATAATTTTCTTTGCTTTTTAATTGTCTTTCTTTTTAAAGATTTATTTAAAGTTGAATGGTGTCACTGTATAAAAACATTTATGAAACAATGAAATAGCAGCCACCAGCATTTCTCAGGAGGCTTGTTAACTTCTCAGAAGCAAGTGGCTGCCTGTGATTTGCAGAAATGAAAATTGACCTCAGTAAGCTCTGGAAACTTAGAGACAGATGATGTTCCAGGAGCGGGTAATGTAAAAAGGCCTGTTTTAAAAACAGTGCTTTGGAGGGAGCCCAGGTCCTGGGACAGAAAGGTCTGCAAAACCTATCAGATTTCAAAATGGTTAAACAAGAAAATTTTAAATGCTACAGATACTGCAAAGGAGCAGATCACTTAAACATTTCAGGGCAACCGCTTGTTTCTTCCTCCCCACCCTCCTTGATTGTTTCTGGAAGTTTTGGTGGTCTGCTCGCTTGTGGTGTGCTGGGTTCCTGCAGGTGGTTACCTGAGTAGACAGATCCCTTTTAGGAGCCTGGGATCTGCCTGCATTGTCAGAGCAGGCAGTGAGTGGGCTCCTTTCTCTGCAGTCTGCAGTGGCCTTTACTGGTGTGTCCTGCCCGGGGCTTCTCTGCCAGGGTACTCTGAGGCAGTGCTTAGGGAACATATCTTAGGCTGTGCCCGAGCTTCGTCCTTTCACTATCGGATCTGTGCCCTTTTGTAAATATAAGGATCTTCGGGGCCAGGCTCAGATCCAACTTTGCTTAAGAATCTTTCTTCTTCAGAAGGAAATAGTAGAACTAATTACAAAGTGACTCAGGAAAGACAAATGGATTTAGTTGAACCTTTGTCAACAGTGAGGTTTTGAATCGTTGATTATTTTGGAGGGGGAGGCTTACTTTTCTAATCTCACTATTTCCATAAATGGTCACAGATATTTTTGTTTAGTATTTCTTTGTATGTACAACTTGGTATTGAGCTCTTAGGTTTCAGATTTTAAACAGAGTTTGTAATTCTTTTATTTGTTGTTAGCATAAAAAATGAGCTGATAAGCTGTATTCATTACTGAATTCTTGCTGATGGTATAAAAGTGCCAATGTAGACCATTTTATTTTTACTTATTATTTGGCCTGCAGTTTTAGGGCAATATTAGAATAATTTTTTTTTTTTTTACAATTTTGAGACAAAACCAGTGTGACACTTTGCCTTGACAGTAAGATTTGAAAAAAACAGAGGAAAGAATCTTTGTATAGATTCCTCCTCTCAAGTGATCTTTCATGAAGTAACAAATAGAACTCCATTCAGAGACCATGCTTGAGAGATTGATGGAGTTTTTTTTTTTTTTTTTTTTTTTTTTTTGTGTGTGTGTGTTTTTCTTTTTCCTTTTCCCAAAACATAAACCAGGACTCACCACTATATGTACTTAATGAGATTTAATTTAAAGAGGGAGGGCAACCTAGTTTAGTTTGAGCCAGATTGAAGCAAATTTCTCACGGAGAGGCGGAGAGGTGCTTCCTTGCATTGTGGTACGATGTGTGCCTAGGCCCCAGCAGCAAACTAATTATATGTCAGGGCAGGTTTTGGGCGGGGTGGAGGGCGGGGGGGGGGGGGGGGGGGAAGGGGAAGAGCGACATTGGGGGACGTCAGCTTCTTTCAGCTTCTTCCCTTTTCCCTCTACCTCTCTTACAGCAGGAATTACGTATTCAGACTCTCACTTTGGAGGACTAATGTCTCCTCGTATTAAGAACAAGGACAAGCAAGTCATAATGAAAAGGGTGTTTGGTTTTTTTGCTGCTTGTGCTAAAGTCCTTCAGTAACAGTTTTGAGTTCTGACACTGCAGCTCAGCGGTATTGGAGGGCATTTCTCAGTGGGAAAATCTGAGAAGAATATACTTGCCGTGGATCGTCCGTTTCCAGATCATATCTGTTTTATCTTCAGTGGAAAAGTATGTACCAGGAGCATTTGGAGAATGCAGAGCTCAGATGTTAGCTAGGCCTTTGAAGAAATGAGCTGTGCCATGAACAGTATTTTTAAGGTTCCTTGTTTTAGAACGGGTTGATCTCTCGTGTGGGGTGGTCACACCAGAGCCTCTGCATCTGTGGGATTACTTTTTTTTTCCTCTAATCTCATGTACTATTATGTGTTAATTGTGAGCATAATTATACTGCCTGCAAATGAAAATCGTGGTGCTTTATCGCTCCAAAGGTTGGTGCAAATGACTGCGTGTAGGAGCCAGCGTGTGTAAAAATGACCGTGTTCATGTGCAGACAGTAGGTAGATAGCATTTTTAAGCTTGTATTTTAGGCACGTTGTCTTATTCCCAATAAGAGTAAAAACTTGCGAAAGAGTAAAAACGCTGCTGAGTGAAGGCTGGGCCTAGGGGTTGGATCCGTTTAGTGGTAAAACTTTGTAGGTCTGTTTTTTCCAAAGACTGAGGACAACGGGCCAGAGCAGGTGTCCGGCTCTCTTGGTGGTGGTGCAGGGAAATCAGAGCCCACCTTTCTGTCCATAAAGGTGCGTACTGCACTTCCTCCTTAGTGGTCAGGGACTGCAACGGCAGCAAGGGCTAGTGTCCTACTTCTGACCTCAGCAAAAAAAAAAAAAAGTACTGTAAGCTTCTTGCCCTTTGACAAACTTGGGCTCTGCTGCTGGGCTGTTGGGGACTGACTGTTGGCTGCCGGGTACTTTTTCTTATTTTTTCTTATTTTATCTGTAGAAGCCGCAGATGACGCTGTGGTATTTAAATGAGATCCCAAATCATGTTTGAACAGTATCAGTGATATATTTTATTCTTTCACCTTCACAAAGGTGATAAAATCAAGTAATTCAGGTCCGTGCTAAGCCCTTAATGTTTCAGGGTTGGGCGTTTTGACAAATACAAGCTTAGTCCCCCTTGCACTGCAATGACTGCATACTTCCGAGATGTGGGAAGTTTGGGCCTTCCCTCTGCTGGGATAATTTGTGGAATGCTGGAATATTTGGATCTAAATATCTGAGTGTTTGTGTGTGTGTTTGTATTTTGTCTCAAAGCTGTGACGTACTGAGAGTCCCCAGCCTGTAAAAGTCCTCATCATCAGCTTCTTTGACCCTGTCCCATGTCGGAACTTAAGAGTTGAAATAAGAGTTGAAATTCAGCCACCTCCTCAGAGAGATTCCTCTCTCCTCTCCTGGTGCCGACTAAGAATTTTGGAATATGTATTTTCATTTTAGTGAAAGCAAATGGGATGCCCTGAAGGGTGGGTTTCGAGGATGGTATTTCTTACAGGGTGGGTCCCACTCTGCTCTTAAGTTCTGTCCACTGGCTTTTTGCATGGTTGGGAGGATTCTCAGAAAATAGTTTCCATAGCCTGGGAGTCCTAGCTAACTGTGAAACCACTGGCCTCTCTTCTGATTGGAAGGGGGAGGGGTATCTTAGAGGCTGTCTTTCCTACTCTTGTGGCAAGCCAAGGGAAGTCTCCATCCTGGCTGTATTCTGCCCCCCCGCCCCCCTATTTACCATCCCCATCAATATTTACTATCCTGATGTAATGCTTTCTGCTCTTTTTCATGTTAGTTTTTAAGGCTCTGCCCTAGGATTTCATTAGCAGTTATAGTTTGAAGAACAGGGCCCAGCATTGGAAAATGGGTTTAAAAGAAAAAAAGTGGCTTACTAATGAACAAGTTAAGCACCACCATCGTCTCCAGTGGGGAATTCTGGTTGCTTTTAGGCATCTGACAGATTTAGATGTGTACAGTGACTGAAACACTATTGACTGGGAATATACAACAATGACGAGTGCTGTTGTTTTTACTGATATATAAACTGAAAAACTGCTGCTAATGGTGGGAAATGTTAATTATGTGAGAACATATTGAACTTATATTCTCTGGCATGAACTTTGAAAAAAAATGCATGAACTGCGCTGCT